GGATTCTTTTTTTCTTTTTATTGTTCTGATTGGGTGTTTTCTGCTTCCTTGTCTTCTGAATCGCTGATTCGATCCTCTGCTTCATCTACTCTATTCTTGATTTCCCTCTGATGAATTTTTCATTTCCGTTATTGTATTCATTTCTGACGGGTTCTTCTTTATGCTTCTATATCCATTTTTATGGATCCTATCTCTTTATTGAAGTTCTTGCTAAGTTCATCTACTCTTCCCTGAAGTTCATTGAACATCCTTATAACCGGAGAGGGTTTTTTTTGTTGTTTGTCTTTTAAATATGTTTTTATTTTAGAGAGAGGAAGGGAGAAGGAAAGAGAATGAAACATCTATGCGGGAGGGAGGCAACATCGCACACACCCCACCTGGGATCAAACCCAGAACCTGAGCATGTGACGTGACCAGGAATTGAACTTGTGACCTTTCGGTGCATGGGACAACTCTCAGCCAACTGAGCCACAACAGCCAAGGCATAACCTGGGTTTTGAACTGTGCATCTGGTAGACTGCATGCCTCCATTTTTAGATCTTTTTCTGGAGTTTTGCTCTGTTCTTTCATTTGGGACATGTTTCTTGGTCTCCTCATTTTGGCTGCCTCTCCATGTTTGTTTCGGTGTGTTAGGTAGAGCCGCTTCATCTCCCAGTCTTGGTAGAGTGGCCTATGTAGTAGGTATCCTGTAGTGCCCCATAGTGTAGCCTCCCCAGTCACCCAAGCTGAGTGCTTCAAGTGCACCCCATGTGTGGACTGTAGTTGTAAGGTCAGTTTCTTTTTCTTTTTTTTTAATTAAATCTTTATTCAGATTATTACAGTTCTTCTTTTTTTCCTTCCATAGCTCTCCTCCACCCAGTTCCCGCCCCACCCTCTGCCCTTACCCCTCCCACTGTGGTCATCCATAGGTGTACGATTTTTGTCCAGTCTCTTCCTGTACCCCCACACCCCTTTCCCCCCAAGAATTGTCAGTCCACTCCCTTTCCATGCCCCTGGTTCTATTATATTCACCAGTTTACTCTGTTCATCAGATTTTTTATTCACTTGATTTTTAGATTCACTTGTTGATAGATATGTATTTGCTGTTCATAATTTTTATCTTTACCTTTTTCTTCTTCTTCCTCTTCTTAAAGAATACCTTTCAGCATTTCATGTAATACTGGTTTGGTGGTGAAGAACTTCTTTACCTTTTTCTTGTCTGTGAAGCTCTGTATCTGAACTTCAATTCTAAATGATAGCTTTGCTGGGTAGATCTTGGTTGTAGATCCTTGCTATTCATCACTGAGTATTTCTTATC